AAGACTTCAAAAATCCTTCTCAGAGGATATGGCTTGAATGTATTCTTTGGCTATTCCTTCCTCGTTGGAGGAATCCTTGGTTTCATCCTTCTCCTGAGTGGATGTGTCGTAGATCTCAATGGCCCTAATGCGATTTTTTGGGTATTGGCGGCTCTGATGTCCAGGCTTGTGACATCTGAAACATAGCTTTTTGTCCATGTGTTCCTTGGGATCCTTGTCTGACAGTTATCTGATCCGCTGATCCTTAGATGATCCGTCCTTAGATGATTCTTCTCTGGTTTCAATTGCTCGGTTGCGACATACAAACTTGTTGCAGTTGCGACCAAAAGATTGATTGGTAGATGTCATGAATTTTAATCCACTGGCATGTAAGAGAGGTCAAAGGGTAGTAACAAATCAAAGACCATTTCCTCCACACCTATCCCAGGTGCACTTGCTGATCTCATTTAATGCTGCCTGGGTGTTGTCCTCTACTCCAAAGGTCTGGATAAAGGACTTCCTGAAGCTAACCCAGCTAGGTAATCCTTTAAGTGGCACATCTTCAGAGTCAGAGATGGGTTCTTGTGCATCGTTGATGATTGTATGAACAAAGAATTGGGCAGGTCCCTTGATGTACGAAAGGGCGCATTGAACCTTATCCTTATCGATCTGAATCTTCTTGGAGTTACCTTCAAAGTATAGGTATAATTCGTCCAAGAATTCCTTGCTCTTTCCCTTGTCTCCTTCGAATTGGGTGGGTTTGTTTACTGCTCCGCTGTTGTTGTCCGACATGTCTTCTTCGTCTTCTTGATCACTGGGTTCTGGGTTTCTGTCTTCTGGGTTGTTTGGATGTCTGTCAGTAGGTTCCTCCTTTGAAGTAGGATCAACTGGGGAGTGGGATGGTTCTGGATTGGTGTCACCGAATTTCATGGTGTCTATTTTATCTCCAGCATCTAGATGATCTCCATCTTATCCGATTAAGATATCTACATAAGAATAAGGATAGCGTAACCATGGTGATCACTGTTACTAGTCAGGTGTCTAGCTTATCAGAAGCATGCAAATGGGCTATCATACGTTCACACAAGATTTCCCCATTTGTACTAGAGACACACACAGTCATTCAGGTGATCATCACACATCAGACTGCTGACCGAACACATGGACAGGGCGATGGTTCACACGCTAGGTATTCTTAGATAGCCAATAGTTTGCGAGCATCAGTCATCCTAAGGTGTTAGGTGTACTACCAGTAGTATTAGGGGTCTGGTCCCTCATGTATAAATACCAGAGCAATTCAGCATAGAGGGGCATCTTGGTTATACAACTAAGACCCGCCTACTTCATCCTACTCTCTCTGAGTTAACCACTCTCAAGACAAGCACTCCACTTACTTCTTGCAACTACCATTACCGCTACAAGTGAGTTCTGGGGTTAGAGTTAGGGTTAGGGTCAAAGGCACATACCTTGACAATTGGGTTCTGTTGGAACAGGTACTGAATGTTGCTCCTCGACTGGGACTGGTGGGTTGACTGGTTCAGGGGAGTCAAAAATTCCTGAAAAGAAGCTAGCTTTAACTGTGGGACTGGTGTTTGTTGACTTGCTTGGTAAGGGTTTGGTTGTTAACTGAAGTGGCAATGTGCGCGGTGTAGGGGCTACTACACTTCTACTGGATGACGCTGCAGTAGGAGTAAGGTATGATGGTACAGGGGAGGACTTCTCTGCTAATGGGGGTACTACTGAGTGTCGATCTTCTTTACTGCCGATAGGAGCTAAGATCACTGTGGGTGCTGGGATAGTCTTGTCTCTTTTCCTGTTTGGACAGAGTGAGTTGGCACAATACTGCCAGGAAGAACAAAGAAGCTGCCTTGCTTGGGACCTGGTTACTGCTGGTTGTCCTACTGCTGTAGC